TTACCTATTGTACCAATACCTTCAATGTGACCTTTTGAATTGTCTCCAAAAGTCACTTCTCCATTTTTGGCGTTAAGCTCAATGAACCGGCTTTTGTCTCCGGTCATGTGTCTTGAACATCCACTATCAAGGTACCATGAATTTGAATTTGTTTCTCGTGCCTTGTAGCAATGCTCCTTTCCCTACAAACATAGATTAATTTTTTATTTTTGGTACCCAAATTCTTTTGGGTCCATATTCATTAGTTTCCAAAATCCTAGTCCCCTTAGGTATCCATTTGTGTAGGATATTTTTATCTTTAGTAGTAATAAGTTCTTTAGGAACCCACATACTTCTAACGATTTTTCCATTAGAGGTTCTTTGGGGACCTCTATGATTTTAGTTTCTAAAACTTTTTCTAACAAAGTTGGATTTTGAATTTCCACCTTTTTCAAAATGTTTTGTTCCAACTTTATCAAAAGAAGTTTTAAGATCATCAATTTTCTTTTTGATGATCATCATTGATCTTTGAAAGTAAATTTTGCAAATCTAAATTTTTCTTTTCAAACTCTTCTAGTTTGATTTGCAAATCTTTGATTTTACTTTCAAGATTGTTGTTGGTTTTGGATATGAGTTTGTTTTCATTTTTCAATTTTGAAACATCATTTTTTATATTTTAAAAATAATTTCTCATAATCCGAAGTCAACCCATTATATTCCTCTAATAACTCATAATAGGATAAATCATCAAAATCGGATGAGTTAGAAGTTACCTTAGAATCTTCCTCAAATGCCATCAAGCACAAGTTAGCTACTTCTTGTTCCTCTTCATCGGAACTTTCTTCATCGCTCCATGTAGCCACATGAGCCTTGTGCTTATTCTTTGATTGACCCTTTTTCTTCAATTATGGGCAATCATATTTGACATGCCCTGGCTTTTTGCATTCGTAGCAAATGATTGGGTCCTTCTCTTTCGGTTCATTTTTGAGGCCTTCATTTCGTTTGAATTTTCTTCCTCGATAAGGTCTCATCATTTTTCTGAAACGTTTGGCAAACAATGTCATTTCCTCGTCATCGTCATTGTTATTCGAATCACTCTCATCTTTTGTGGATTTGAGAGCAACTCCAATGTTTTTCTTCTTCTCCTTCTCCTTTGGTGTCTCGTCAATCTTGTCGAGGTCCACCTCATCTTCGAGCATCATTTCATGAGTGAGGAGTGACCCAATTAGCTCTTCAAGAGTTAAGGACGTTAAGTCCTTAGACTCGATGATTGCCGTCTTCTTTGATTGCCACGATTTTGGGAGGGAGTAAACTAACTTCCTCACAAGCTTTTCATTTGAAATGATCTCTCCATATGATTTGAGACCATTGACAATCGTTGAAAATCTATCCGTCATAGCTTTGATATCTTCATTTGGTTTCATCCTAAAATTTTCATAGCTATGCATTAAAATACTAATTTTAGATTTCTTTACCTCATCGGTACCTTCATGAGTGACTTGAAGTTTGTCCCATATTTCTTTTGCGGTTGTACACGATGAAACCCTTTCGTATTCATCTGGTCCAAGAGCACAAAAAATGATATGGATGGCTTTGGAGTTGAGCTGGAACATTCTTGTCTCTCTTTCACTCCACAACCTTGGATGAGTGAGAGGTTTGATGTATCCTTCTTCTACAACATTCCATGCTCCCATGTCACTTTCTTGAATGAAGTACATCATTCTATTCTTCCAATAGGTATAGTTAGCTCCATTGAAGAAATGAGGCTTGTTGACGGGCATCAAGTCGAGACCGAAGTTGAAGTTTGAAGCGGAGGCCATTGATGACTTTGATTATCGATATAACTCTTCCCGAATCGACTCAAGAGGCGATTAAACCTTCAAATGAGTTAGGCTCTGATACCAATTGTTGAGTTAATCGATTGAAGGAATTGGCCAAGAAGGGGGTGAATTGGCAATTAAAAATTTAGTGGAAGCTTTTTGCAGAAAATTGAAAGTAATTGCACATCGATTTAGAGTGGTTTGACTTTCTCAATCAAAGTCTACGTCCACTACCTTAGCTATCCACACTAAGGATTTTCCAACAAATTCACTAATTTGTTCTTTCTTTTGAGGCCAAAGAGATAACCTTACAACACCCTCAAGAATATACCCCAATTCTTGAGAACACTCTTTCCCAAAGAGAAGATTACAAATTTGCAAACTTACAAGGAAAACCTCACAAGGTAAGATGTTTGCACAATTCTAGAACAAGAAAAGAACACTCACAAATAATTACAAATGAGCACAAATGGTGTTCTTTGAAAGCAAAATGAATATGGAAAGGAAAATTGGCTTGATTTGCACAAACTTGGTGTTTGATGCTTTCTCTCTTGTTTCTCTATAATTTCATGTTGATCAAGGGCTTCAGAACTTGTTTAAATACACCTTGAATCACTTCTGAACGTTGGGGATGATTAGTGATGATCATATAGCCGTTTTAGTGTGAAAACAATTAATAAAACAGCTTGGAGCGTGGGGGGAATCGGTACCCCCTATGGGGAATCGGTTCCCTAAGTGTAAAATTCAGATATTTCGACCGTTATACAAGGGGGGAATCGGTACCCCCTGGGGGGGAATCGGTTCCCTCCGAGCATATTGGAATTCTCGGAGCCAAACCATTCAGGGGGGAATTGGTACCCCCTTAGGGGGGGAATCGGTTCCCTATGAGCAATCTGGAATTTTTGGCTTTGAAATGGTTCGAAATACTTTGTAAAATTATTTTGAAATTTTTTTAAGATTAAAACTTAATTTTACACTTTGAGTAAGGATTAAAAATGATCTTTGAAAGATTTGGAGTAATGTTTTGATATTCGAATAATTCTATCGAATATACTTAGAAAATCATTTGGAAAATCTTAAAATTCATTTAACTTAATTTGTTATATCGAAATATCAAAATGTTTTCAACATAGCCTCTTTGGTGTTAAAACTTCCGCAATCCGAAGCCTTGAGGGCTTGGTTCCAACCTTTGTGAGTTTGCATGCTCACTTAACTTGGGTAATGCTTACTTAGTCGCGGAGAAGGCCGAGGAGCGTCTAAGGCCGCACGACCCGTCAGACCTTGACTCTGATATTCCGACGGTTTGAGACGTCGAAGTTCTGGGGGCGTGACAATATATACTGGCTGAGGGGCTTTGGAGTTGAGGCCTCCCGGTTATCAACTAACGACAAAATAGCCCATAAATCAACAAATGTACCCAAAAAAATGCCCGACTTAATCTTAACATCCCCGACTAAATTGTCAAGATGCATTCGCGCATTTCTAACTTTGGTTTCTTCGCTCTATCAGAGGACTTGGCATTTCAGTAGAAAGCCAATTTTATTTAATCATGCTCGATCACAGAGATTCATAAGCCACAATTCTTGCATCGAATCTGTGTTTCAGAACAACCCCAACAACATGCACAACCGTTAAGCAACAAAAGGATCCTCCTCACGAACTCAACCCAGTGATTCCAATTTCCAACAAAACCAAAAGCGTTAGTTCCTCCGTCTTTTCTCAGGTATTTTAACAAACGAACTCCATTCATCCCTCTTCCCCCGAAAACTCAATCTTTTTTAACTTAAATTCCATAGGTGCGACTGTTTTGATTTGCACAAGGAGCTTATTCCATATGTAAAGGCATGGTCTTGGCAGAAACAATTTGTTAAACAAAAGAAAGCACTGATTCAATAACACGGCAATTGTCCGGATTCATTAATTATTCTTCAGCATAAACTGTTTATTCAATCGGCATTGGTACCTCGTACAAGTATTTGAATCTTGACGTAAAGGAAGATCTTTTGATGTTTATCGAATTGAACGGGGCGGGGAAGTTACATATGGGCCTGGACAGGTATGGTTTCAATACCTACATGGCTAAGAATGTGACATTAGTTTGATTTCAAGGTGATTTTCTCTTTGGACTAACTCCTCCTATACTACCTGTATTGCAATATAGCTAGTTATGTATCCTATTATTGATCTCCAGAATCACAAGATGGATCTTCATTGCTACCTTAGGACACTTGAGGAGGTGGTGATTCGGGTTCTTTCATCAACATTTTCTACTAAGGCTTGGCCTTCTAGGATTGGAGGTTTAACGGGTGTTTGGGTTGGTAAGATTTCTTATCTTCTCTTTTGATGCTTGATTTGTTTCCACTAGGCGAATGGCTAAGCAAAACTGTTATTATAAGCTTGAACCATGTTTTCTCAATCCTTTCCTTTTGAAATTGAACATATAATGCAGGACATTGCAGGCTTACTGGATGAGGAAATAGGCATAGGATTATCAATATTTTCTTGTTAAAGTGGGATGATGACGTTCCAATATAGCAAGGGACCAAAATGCATCCGCTGCTAGCCTGCATGACTCCATAGCTTTTTTTTCTCTCTCGTTTTGATTATTTGTTCTCGAATTATGTATCTTTTGTTAGAAGTTGTAAATGATGGGAACAAAGACGTTTAAGAGATTCACCCCATTCATTCTAGGCCTCGAATTTAAATATAAAAATAGCAAGCAATCGTAATGGTTTGTTATTCTCCATCTATTATTGATATGCAATTGAGGGTCCTGGCATCAAGGTGAATGGTGATTAAGTCTCGGACCATGCAGTTCTTGTGTTGTCTAGCTGCTTGGGCCAGCAGTCGGTGATAACAAGATTTTGTCATTCTCTTTAACAATAGCACTTACAATCATATTACAATGTCATTTTTCTAATCTGATTTCATTTGTAAGTAAATAACCCTGCCTTCTTTGATTTGATCTTTCCAAAATTTTGTTACAGGAAATCAGAGATTGGCTGCAATTGGTGTAAGAGTATCCAAGGGGATAACATAGCATGGGCTGGCACTTAATGTCACCACAGACCTAACTCCCTTCAGTCGGATAGTTTCCAGTGGGTTACAGGATCGTCAAGTTGGAAGCATAAAGGGGCTGCTTCAAGAATTTCAGTCATCTACACGATGCAATGAAGCAGTTAAACCAATTCCTGATGATGGTGAGTTCATTGATATCTCCTACAAGTCCTTGATTAAGGAATTTTTTGAAGTTTTCAATCTTGAAATCCATCAAAAGGCCGTAGATTTTGGAGAGGACCATTAACCAGATTGGAGGAGGCTCAAAGAATAATAAATTGCCTCAGTACAATAAGGTATTTTTTTATGCTTCTGTACCCTGCAATTATCCTTTAGAATTATAAGTCCAAATATGCAGATTATAGAATCGAATGATGCCAGAAATTTTCTAGTTTTCTTTTGTATGACTGCAATTCTATAAAAAAATAAGAAAAGAAAATCATGACTTCATTTGGTTTACCCTCACTTCTAAATTCAGTAGAATTTCTGCAGGTTTTTAGTTTTGTTTTTGAATTAAGGTCATCGATTTCAATATAAATTCAGATATACATACTAATATGTAGTTTCGTGGTCATGAAAAATGGTTGCTTCTTTATTGAACTATGATAAAAGGATAATATAAATCAAATAGTTCGAGAAACAAGTAAAAAATACCCTCGATTTCTCCTATTATGTAGAACAGATGAACATGCCTTGGGCCCTGAAGCTTCATGGATATCCAAGGAGTATAATTTGAAGATTCAAATTTCAAAACCAAGAAAGAACCATAGATTTATATGCCGCTCACCTAATCATCAATAGTTCTCTGCAACCGGTCTAGAAGGAAAAAGCCGTTGGAGAAATGTCATCAACGACCAAAGGCAAATCACAGCTAGGACTTGGAAAGTGACCACCATCCCAACAGTTGCACCGCTTCGCTTCAGCATCTCTGGGGTTTTCAGGGAGTCTTTCATCGAAGACATGAAGTTCTGAATGAATTGAATGGCTCTGGTCAACTGATACAATCTATACACCTGCAAAATCAATTACGAAGTTGTCAATCATCTTATTTGGTCTTTAGAACGAAAATAAATTCAGTAAAAAGACCAAATACCTCAAAAATGATAGGAACCAGGGGCCAGCAAGATGAATGACTCTTATCAAGAATCGTCTCGAATGTGCGTTGGGCAGCACAACCTACCAGGAAAGGAGCCACTGCAACCAGCGCTTGGACACCGAGCACTGGCCAAGTTACAAAAGCTGCAACAAGAGGAGTAATAATCTTGAAACCCGTTGCAAAGAGAGAGGATGATATGTAACCCCTGAGTCCTGTAATGAGACCCCACCTCTTGGTACTGAACTGCAAATAGGGCCTTTGAACATAATCAGTCACCAGAAAGAACACCCCAAGACCAATATAGAATAGCACTTCAAAGGAAAACGAGGACACAATTTCTGCACAATATAACCATGCGAAAACAATTGTATATGTTCATTTATGTTACACAAACACCACAGTACCACTGTACCAGTAATGAAATTTGACTCCATGATTGTGAAAACAAACGACTAAGGAGAAGATACAGTTGAAATAGAATACCAACAAGTTTCTCGTCCTTGAAGAAAGCCTCAATTGCATAGCTAAAAAAAAACTGTGGAAGGATCAATGAAGTAATCAATGAAATGGGTCCTAAAACCCAGAGGAAAGATCTTTTTCCTTCTTGGAAATGAGCTGACATCAATTTGCTCTCTTCCACCAGTTGGTGAGAATCAGATTGCCCATGAAAGGAAATAGAACCCGATTTACCATGAAACGATTCCACGCCATCAAATGTGTTTAAAGCCACAACAGATTTCTCACTCTCAGTCCCAGTATGGTTCAAACATGAGTTTTGATCAGACCCAGAAACACACACTATTGTTCCCCATCTGCTCAATCTCCACAATATATCCTCCTTATTTAACCTTAAATACCCTGAATTGTTTTTAGTAGAAAAACAAGAAGGCCCTTTTAGTTAAAGCAAAGAAGGGAATAACAAACGTTAAACACAAAAAAATCTGAGGGAAAAGAAGCAAAAGATATACACTTTGATGCATCTCCAAGCCCAACATTTCCGTTTCTTCTGATGATGTTGCATACAGGAGCCTTAAAATTTTGATCATTCGAAATGAGAGTGAGTTTCCGACTTCGACAAAATTAATGACGGAATATAAACGGGATAACAAGGTTTAACGCTAAGAAAGAAACAAACTTGAACGTAAATCAGGATAGATTTACTTACGGGTTGATTAAAGAATCGATTTTGACAAAAAATGCTGAACTTTGGGACACGAAATCCAAGGCATGCCGATTGAAGCTCCATCCTTTTTATGGTTTTAGCAGCGTTGATTGAAGTTGCTGGACGTCGGTCACCGCTTAAACCCCAAGTTTTCCCAATAGGCACGACTTTCAGTTTCTTGGCAATTAGAAAACTACCCGCCACAGAGCTGGCCAGCTGTTGGACCATTTCCACGATCTGAGCCCTCCCATTAATTACTACTAGTTTTTATGGATTTACTTGGTAACCATATAGGCCTAAAAACCTCTCAGGCCTTCCTCCAATATTAACTCGGACAAGGTAAAGGCTTTGAGGAATGCATAAATGTCAATCTAATTATAGAAAAAAATGTTTATTATATAATGATTGTGCCGATGAAGTAGTTGGTGATAACTCCATAATTTAGTGTATAACAATAACATATTCTTTTAGCTGTGCTCCTTTCTCCTGCCACTCAATTCTCGTGTCCACAAGCTCCAAAAACATGTTTTATGTGTTAGGAAATAAACGAGTAACAAGTAATTTTCCTATAGTCAGATTAGTGAGAATTCAAAATAAAAGCATAAAAATAATACCCGAAATTGATAATGGAGTTCAGCCAATTGTGCTTACGTCTCCGGACTGCTGCAGATCTTTTACTAAGAGAGAAAATTTACAGGTGTTTACAAAACACTCACTACTCACAAGAAAACTCTCTAGTATTGGGAGAAAGAAATAATTTTTGGGATGGTTTTGAAGCTAAATGAGCTAGGGTATTTGTAGTTGAAACTTAAGGACTTAATCTTGTAAATACCCTAAAGCCTATGGATTAATTGTGATTATCCCATTATCATTTTTCAACAAACATCTACCAAACTTTGAAAAACTATTTTTCAAAGAAACATTTACCAAACTTTGAAAACCATTTTTTCAAAGTTGGTTACCAAACTTGAAAACCATTTTAATAATTTCAACAATCTCCCACTTGAAGACTGGTTTTAATCTGTCTTCACACCTCGATCAATGCAACAGCTTTTCTAGTCTTGTTACTCTAGCATGCCAACTGAAGTTGAACACAACTTCAGTTTGTCTGTAGTCACCGTCTTTGTCAACATGTCTGCCGGATTTTGAGCTCCACTGGTCTTTTCAAGTTTCAAAATCCCATCTTCCAGAAGAGACCGGATAAAATGATATCGCAATTGTATGTGCTTTGTCATAAAATGAAAAGACGGATTCTTTGCTAGATGTATAGCACTTTGACTGTCGCAATACAAGACATTGTTTTCTTGTTTCTTGCCTAACTCTTCCAAGAAACTTTGGAGCCAAACCATCTCCTTGTTGGCTTCCGTAACAGCGACATATTTTGCTTCAGTTGTGGAGAGAGCAACTATCTTCTGTAGTTGAGAAACCCAACTCACTGCGGTTCCTCCTAGAGTATAGACATACCCTGTAGTGCTCCTTCTGATGTCAACATTTCCGGCTAAGTCAACATCTACATAGCCTGTCAGTATCGTATCTCCACCTTTGAAATAAAGTGTTTTGTTTGTGGTACCCCGCAGATATCTGAGGATCCATTTGACTGCTTCCCAGTGTACCTTGCCCGGATTATTCATGTGCCTGCTAACAGCTCTCACTGCTTGAGCAATATCTGGTCTGGTACAAACCATGGCATACATCAGACTTCCAATTGCTGAGGCATACGGCACCTTCACCATGTGTACACGTTCTTCCTCCGTCTTTGGTGACTGTTCTTTGGAGAGTCTGAAATGAACACCTAAAGGTGTACTTACTGGTTTAGCATCTTGCATGTTGAACCTGGAGAGTAATTTGTTGATGTACTCAGCCTGTGATAATATCAAAGTCTCCGACTTTGTGTCTCTCTTGATCCTCATCCCAAGAATCTGCTTTGCAGCACCCAGATCCTTCATAGCAAATTGCTTTGACAATTTTTGCTTCAAGTTTATAATCTCTTGCATGTCTGAGCCTGCAACGAGCATGTCATCAACGTACAACAATAAAATAATGAAGCTATTGTCGAACCTCTTGATGTAGCAACAATGATATGCTTGGCATCTGGTAAAACCACTGCTACTCATGAAACTATCAAACTTCTTCTACCACTGTCTAGGAGCTTGTTTTAAACCATACAAGCTCTTCTTCAACCTGCATACCAGGTTTTTCTTGCATACCTCTATGAAGCCTTCTGGCTGCCTCATATAGATTTCTTTCTCCAAATCACCATGAAGGAAAGTTGTCTTTACATCTAACTGCTAAAGATATAAATTCTCTGTAGCTACAATTTTCAACACCAGTCTGATTGTAGATAGCTTCACGACTGGAGAGAAAATTTCATTGTAATCAATACCTTCTTTTTTGTTGAAAACCTTTGACAACCAATCTTGCTTTATAGCGTTTGCTCTCATCGTGCTCTTCTTTGATCCTGTAAATCCACTTGTTATGGAGCGCTTTCTTGCCTGGTGGTAATTCAGCTAATTCCTACGTCTGATTTGACATAAGCGAGTCCATCTCATCTTTCATGGAAGACTCCCACTTGACTGAATCCTCCACTTGCATTGCTTCATCATAGCACCATGGTTCACCATTGTCAGTCAGCAACAAGTAGTGCAAAGAAGGAGAATACCGTTGGGTTGGTTTAGGAATTCTGGAGGAGCGTCTCAGTTCTGGTATGCCTGGTTCTTCCTCTTGAACTGCTTCAGGACTGATCTGAACATCATTTCCAAAAATCTCCTCGAACTCAGTAAATTCCTTTGTTTCAGCTTCGGTATTACTTGATTCTGCGGTTGACCTGTCTTTGTACATCACATTTTCATTGAAAATGACGTCTCTGCTTCTAATGATCTTCCGATTTTCATAGTCCCAAAACCGGTAACCAAACTCATCACCACCGTAACCAACAAATACGCATTTGTTGGACTTGGCATCAAGTTTACTTCTTTCAGCAGAGTTTATGTGTACATAAGAAATACAACCAAACACTCTTAAGTGTGAAAGGTTTATTTCTTTCTTGCTCCAAGCTTCCTCTGGTATTCCGCCATCCAAAGGAACTGAGGGCCCACGGTTGATCAGGTAAGCTGCAGTGTTGATAGCTTCAGCCCATAGAAATTTGGGCAATCCGGCATATATCCTCATACTTCTGGCACATTCATTCAGAGTTCTGTTCATGCGCTCTGCTACGCCATTCTGCTGCGGTGTTATGGGAACTATTGTCTCCATCTTGATCCCATTGTTTGCGCAGAAATATCTGAATCTACTATCTCTATACTCTCCTCCATTGTCAAACCTCAACCACTTGACTTTTAAACCAGTCTCATTTTCCACCATGACCTTCCATTTTCTGAAGGTATCGAAGACTTCTGATTTCTTCTTCAGAAAATAAACCCACACCTTCCTTGTTGAATCATCGATGAAGGTGACATAATATAGTGAGCCTGCAAGATATGGAACTGGGGATGGTCCCCATACATCAGTATGAACCAATTCTAACCTTTCTGCCTTGGGTGTCTTGCCAATCTTTGCAAAACTGACTTTCTTTTGTTTGCCAAAGATGTAATCCTCGCATAGTCCGACATCTACATTCTTTAGATCCGGCAGCTTCCCTTTTGACAGAAGTATCTTCATTCCTTTCTCGCTCATATGGCCAAGCCTTTGGTGCCATAGGTTTGATTTTCCATCAACATCTGCTACTGCAATGATATTCTCTAAATTTGAGGTTACATAGAGAGTACCAGTCTTCTTACCACGAGCAATGACGAGTGCTCCTTTGGTAATCTTTCATTCACATCCTGAAAAGGTTGTACTGTATCCTTCTCCATCAAGCTGTCCTACAGAAATCAAATTTCTTTTGAGACCAGGAATATGTCTCACTCCTGTCAGCTTCCAGGTGGTCTGGTTTGGCAGCTTTAGTCGGATGTCTCCTTTTCCGATGATCTTCAAGGTTTCATCATCAGCAAGATGAACCTTCCCAAAATCACCACTGACATAGTTCTCCATGATTTCTTGGCATGGCGTGGAGTGGAAAGATTCCCCTGAATCCAAAATCCATGATTCAATCGGACTGTTGACGCTTAAAATCATAGCATCACCTGTCTCCTCCGTCATGTTGGCAGATTCCTGTACGCCGGTATTTTTCTTCGGTGCTCGGCAATCTCTTTTGAAGTGGCCCTTCTTGCCGTAATTATAACAGGTAAAATCTTTATTTCCTGTTCTTGATTTTCTCCTTCTGGATTTCGATCTGCCACGATTTGAATTTCTTTCTGAAGTTCTCCCTCTGGACTCCGTGTGCAAGGCTGAGGAGGTTGATGCTTCACCCGATTCTCTCCGTCGAATTTCTTCGCTCAGTACCAGATCCCGAACATCGTCGAATTTTAATTTGTTGTTTCCCGACGAACTGCTGACTGCTGTAACAGTAGCATTCCAACTGTCTGGTAAAGATGATAAGAGAATTAAAGCTCAAACTTCATCATCAAATTCAATTTCCACTGAACTCAACTGGGTTGTGATTGTGTTGAGTTCATTTAGGTGTTGTGCCACCGATATCCCTTCCGTCATCCGCAAATTAAATAATCGCCTGATCAAATAAACTTTGTTTGAGGCCGATGGCTTCTCATACATACTGGAGAGAGCCGTCATAAGACCCGCCGTGGTCTTTTCCTTTGCTATGTTGAAAGCAACATTGCGGGATAACGTCAGTCGGATAACTCCGAGGGCTTGTTTGTCGAGAAGAGCCCAGTCTTCATTCTTCATGCCCTCTGGTTGTTTTCCTGAGAGGGGTTGATATAGATTTTTCTGGTATAGAAAATCTTCAATTTGCATCTTCCAAAATCCAAGTCCGCACCATCGAACTTTTCAATTTTCACATTCCCTTCGTCTGCAGCCATCGCTCCCACTCGAATCTGGCTTCGTTTGGATCGTTTCTGACAATTTCTGCGAACCGTCGTGTATTAGAACACCTCTGTCGACAAACTCGTATCGCCGACCGAATTTCACTGTTCACGAAATTTACTATTCACGTGAATAGTAACCCAAATAGTAACCCCGCAAAAAATTGACATAATTCGC